TCATATTCATATCTGTCAACCTCCTTCCCTTCACACAAACTGTTTCACTTTTGTCTTTCTACCTTCAGAACCCAGCATGGTTGCGTGGCACACGTTAAGCACTTAAAAAATGTTTATTGTAAGGTCCTTGAAAAGTAGAGATTATTTCCTTCTATTTGTATTCCCAGCTGTTTATTGATTGACTATTAATTTCTCAGAGTGGTTAATTGGGGGGCACTAATGGGGAGAGGTGTATTCAGTCTTTTTGGGTTTAATACTGGTATACGAATGGCTCATATACCATCAATTAGAAGATAGAGACCCTTTGGAAGGGCCATAGCACCCTCTCCTTTTCCCACCATTGAGACTAGGCATACTGTGTTGAGAAGAGATATTTCTAGATGTTTCTAATGTCTGACCATGGTGCTTATCTGACTATAAGTATATCAAAGCTAATCTCACAGTATTGTTGATTTAGGTTCTTTAGGTTTATATCATGTGTCACTTGCACAGATGTGGAGGGACTTGGAATGGAATGGATCAATTGTATAAGGGAAAGGCTGGTTGGTTAATCTGTGCTATGAGCTACAGAGAGACCTGGTGAACTAAAGATGCAAGAATGAGCAGCACGGTCATTGGAAGCTCTGCAGGTGAGTTGAGACCCCCATGTAAGCTCAGTGAATATATGTTCCATCTAGGTCCTTCAGAAATTTGAATGCTATGCATTCACCTCTGGTGAATGGTGCACAAGTTAGTTGTCTGTATGACCTTGAATGAGTTATTTTGCGCACCTAGTCCTTGGTTTCCCTATCTATAAAGTGATAATTGACATTTATTTAATATAACATATATATACATATATACATACATCTATGTGTATAGATGTATGTGTATATTTCTTTGTGAACCTCAAAATGCTACATAATTTGAGCTTTATAGTAACTTTGTGAGATAGGTACTATGGATTATTATTACCCCTATTTTCTAGATGAGGAAACATAATTCTCAAAGAAGTAAAGTGATTTGTTCATGGTCACATAACTAAAAAGTATCAGAGGTGGCAGCTAGGTGACACAGTGGATAGAGTGCCAGTCCTGGAATCAAGAAGACCTGAGTTCAAATTTGTCCTCAGACACTTACTAGCTGTTTGACCATGTCCTTTAACCCTGTTTGCCTCAGTTTCCTCATCTGTAAAACTAGTTGGAGGAGGAAACGGCAAAGCACTCTAGTATCTCTGCTAAATGGGCTTGTGAAGAGTCAGACATGACTGAACAACAAAAATCAGGATGCAATACCAGTTAGTACTGACTCCAAGTTCAAGACTATTCATGATGCCTTTCTAATGAGGGGATTAGATCTTTTCCAGCTGTAGCATTCTTTGATTTGAAGTTCTATGTATATAAAGGAATAAGTGGATCATGATCAATGTATCTCGAGGAGTCCCTTTGGCTATGTTTTAAAATATCCTTCAAGAACAGACAGTCTCAGAATGAGATAAACATTGAATGATACAGGATAAGGGCAGAAACAATCTTCTCTCTAATTTTTATGAATTCATCTAATTCAATATACAAAGCTTTGCAATCTGGCATTTAATCCCAACTTTATACTAAAACTGTTCTCTCATTAGTTATCAGTGATCGCTTAACTGTTAAATCAAATAATTTGCTTTTCCAGTCCCTTGACTTTTCTGCAGTTTCTGATGTTGTTGACCAATCTCTTTTTCTTATTGACTCTCTTCTCTTAGGGCTTCTGTGATATTGTACTCCTCCAGTTCTTCTCCTAGCTTTTCCTGCATCATCATCGATTCTCTATATTCTCTTCTTCTTCTACACTCTCTCTTTTAAGTATCTCAACCACTTTTAAGGGTTCAATGATCTCTACAAAATTTATATTCAACTCTAATTTTTTACCAAAACTTTTGTTTTACCAGTTCCAAATCCCCACCTGCTAAATGTATATCTCTATCTGTATGTCCAGTTGACATTTCAAGCTCAGTGTGACTAAAACAGAATTCATCATCTCCCCATCCAACCTACAACCTCCCTCCTCCAAACTCCCCTATTTCTGTTTATGTTACCACCATGATCCCAGTCACTCAGGTTCATTTTTACAGAGCCATCCTAGACTCTCCCTTGTTTCTTAAAATTCTAATCAGTCACCACCTAGTACCCATTTTACCTCACTTATATCTCTTGAACCTGTCTTGTTTTCTCCTCTCTCAAGGTCAGCCCCCTAGTTCAATCATTCATTGTCTTTATTTGGTCTACTGAAATAGTCTCCTAATTGGTTTCCCTGTTTCTAGACTCTCCTTTCTCAAATCAATCCTCCACCCTGCTGCCAACATGATCTTCCACAACTGTGACCATATAACCTCCCTAGCTCAAAAACCTTCAGTGGCTCCCTATTATTGTCATTAAGATAAAATACAAATTCAATTACTCTGGCATTTAAGGCACTCTGTAATCTAATTTTCCCCTCAGCCTTGCTCCCTTTCATCATACAACATTCTAGCAAAGCTAGGTTGTTCATTATTTTCTGGACTAATCATTCTATCTCTGTCCCTGTGCATTTGCTCAGGTAAATCCCCCATTACTGTGATGAATTCCTTTCCCAGCCCTACCTCTCTGAATCATCTTTTTTCAAGGCTCAGCTCATCATCCCCCATGAAACAGATCTTCCCAGTTGTTAGTGTTTTCTCCCTCCTGAAATTACCCTGTATTTATTTACTTATGCAGTTGTATTCTCACAATAGAATATCCCTTCTTGAGACTGATATCATTTTCGTGTTTGTATCCCCAAAGAAATGCCTATTCAATTAAATTATGAAATCACCCACCTGGCAAAGTTTAAGGTGACCCAAGTGGAAATCTCTTATCTAACACTAGTGTTTCCTAAAAACATTGGTTTGGCAACAGACCACCTCTTGGGTGAAATTCTTCTAATTCAGGCATTCCTTTGGTTATTCATAGGAAATGAGGATTTGTGCCAGGCACCTGACCTGATGCCCCTATGACCACCTAGATTATTGGGTAAAAATTTAAGTGGTCTGAAGTGTTAGAAATTTGGTTTTTACCTCTGAGTTTTCTTGGGTCTGGGGGTGGGGAATGATCAGGGGGATCTTATGCTTCTCCCCATGAATCATATAGCACTATTACGTGACAGTAGGGCTGGGTGCAAGGAGGGCCCAACATAATTTAAAGGAATGATTATGGGGACTAGCAGAGAGGGGTATGCCACTTTCACTAGTATTTATTGAATTGCTTGATCCTTCACTCTTTAGAGTTCACACACTAAAATGTCAAAAGGATTCTGACAGGTTAGTCCCAGGTTGATTTCTACAATATATACATACATACACACACATATATACATACACATATGTGTATATATGGGTATATATGCACATACATGTATATGCATATATGTATATATGAAAATATTTAATCCAAACCTTTCATTTGACAGGAGAAAATTGAGATTTAGTGACATGAAAGGATTTGTTGAAGACTAACTGATAAATTCAACTAGATAGTGACAGACCTGGCATTAGAGCCCAAATTACCTGTCTCAAAGTCGAACACATGCTTCCTCCACTACAATATACTGCCTCTGCCTAATGTATGTATTTTGTGCCAGGGCAAATAGAGTCAAGTCTCACTAGTTTGGGTGATCTGGGGGAAGGGGTGAGCATGGACCAGATATTCATATTGAAGCAATGTTGTGATTTTTAGCTAATCCAGTAACTAGAAGGGTAATCAGAGGTAACCAAGCACATATCAGGTAGGGGCATGCTGGCCGAAAATACCTCAAAGTGCTCTAGTCTAGCCCAACCAAAAACCACAGATTCATGTCAGCGGGGTCCAAATTATTGAAGTTTTATTGTATAAATGGTTAGTTTAAGCAATATGAAGCAGGAAGGAAGCTTTCTCTCCCCAGGACTCTGTCCTACTGATACAAATCTCACATCTCTTTATGTGAAATTATGTGCGATACGTATATACAACACATATACACTTATGTATATGTCTTGGCAGCTCTGAACAGCTTGGTGTGCAGATCTTTTATGGACCACAGGTGACATGCTTACATCTTCATTATGTCAGAACATCATATATAGTTGGTTTCTTTGTAAGGAATACTCCCTCAGTGTGATAGCATGGCCTTTATTTGTATTGGCATATACCACCCAAGCAGATAAAAGCTTTACTCATTACAATTTTTTGGTTTGATTTGCTAATCTGATCTTTTCTGTTTTTTTTTTTTTTAAATACCTTTTCTATTGTAGCTCATTGCTTTGGGTTGTTGTTGTTTGTACTTCATTCTGGAAGAGGACCATGACATCAGGAAGGTGATGCACGTTTTGCAAGTCAATTGGATTTAAGTGAGGGGGGCCGGTGCAAAGTCACCAGCCTCACTTTCTCCTCTGGAGCCATCTAGGCCCAGTGGCAAGATATAGATCAAGATAGCTAAACAAAAGAACAAGTTCACAAGTCTATACAGTCTTTCCAGTTATGAAAATCATTTAGTATCGAAGTCCATGCTGAGTGACAAGTAACCTGAGTCCTGTCTTTCATTGTGTCCCATCAGGAAACAGCAAATGTGCTTTTCTGAAGAATTCTCAACCCGACATTGGACTCTGGGTGATACTCTCTCTAGGAAGACAGAAATGACGTTTTGAGTACTTTAAACCCAATTCATTAGAACTTGAAACAGATAGATGTTCACCATTTTACTATTTAGATTAGTGTGAGGCCACACACTTGCCTCCATCTGCATCTATCTGAACAATTTACACACTCACAAAGAGTCTGTAAGCTATAACAAAGAAAATGCCAACCAAAGAAAATATTAGGGATTTTTTTTTCTAGATGATGTGATAAAGACTGGTCTTTTGGGGACCAGTTTGGGGACATGAATTTATGTCCATTTGGTCCCCTCTAGAGCAGGCCTCCTCCTTTGCATCCACATCGTGGTCAAAGAAAACAGGGGCACTTCATGACATAGGTTTCCTCCTTGCAGAGCAGCCTCCAGCAGCACAAAGAATTTTCAAGTCAAAGGAGCAGACAGGGTCTATTATTCCAGCTGCTGCCCGCCTGTGGTGTTAGACAGCCTGCGTTTTCCACGGGGTCCGAGCCTCCCTCAGAGATCGATCATAAGGTAAAGTGGCAAAGAAGGAGTTTTTCAGCTGACAGTTAATGAAGAGCACGATGATAGACACGGACAAGAGTAGGAAGAAGAACAACGCGAGGTAAGTCACCAGGTCTGGCTTGCTTATCTCCCCCTCCTTGAGTGCCCGGGCTGTGGACACGTAGAGCGCAGAGGAACTCACGGGCTTCGGGGTCCCGCTCCCATACAGCGTGCTCGTATGCACCGGGAGCGGGACTTCGGCGGCACTGGTGGAATTGAAGAGTTCGCCATACATGTTCCCGCTTGGGCGCCCGAGCGGTGGGGGGTAAGGGCAGAGCAGGGCAGAGCTGCCGGTGGCCTTGCTAGGACAGCACCTGATCCCTTAGGGGACTCCCAACACCGCTCTCTCCTAACCTACGAGAAGCCAGCCCTTCTTGGGATCCAATCACACCCACCTCCCGCCGCGTCTTGTCATCTGCCCGCAGCCGATCGGCTGGAAGGAAAGGGGAAGCGAAGCCCTCCCGAGGCCAGTGTCTGGTGTCCCCACAGCCTCTCCGGCGCTCTCCGGGCGCCGCCTCTGCAGAGGCAGGCGAAGGGGCGCAAGGCGCTAGGCGGCCGGTGCAGAGGCGACAGAAGAGAGGTGCGCCATTGTCCAGTCCGGCCCAGGGAGCCGGCAGCCTCTGGGGCCCAGGATGAGACACTCACCTGGGTGATGAGTCCCTAGGGCTCTCAGTACAGCTGCTGAGCCCTTCCGGGCGGCAGCTGTAAGGCGGCTGAGCGCAGTGTTCAAGGCTCTAAGCGCCCACACCAAAGATGACACGCTTCCCGTCGGCTATCCAGAGGAAGAAGTCCCGAAAGCCCCATGGTTGGACAGAGAGGCAACTGCCCTAAGCTAAAGGAGGGCAGCCAAGGGCAGTCTCTTCCTGCAGGGATCGCATTCTCTGCGCCACATCACCTTGCTCCCTAACGCGGCGCCGTAGTCACTGTGTCCGCTTAGCGATCGGGAAGGTCTGATTTCTAAAAAAGCTCAGCCTTCCCTGCAGTTGGCTCGGCTCCCCCCTCTGGCTGCCCGCCCCTCCTTTCTAACTCTTCCTCCCTTTCCCCCCGCCCCCAGAAATAAATCGGCACCAAGGATGACTCCCCGCTCGATCAGTTCCAGCTGGGAAGTTGGGGCTCCAGGCTAGGTTGCAGCAAGGACGCGTGTCCTTTCTACGCCTCACTGTTCTCCAGATTGCGCCCGGAGACGGCGTCTGGGCAGCGCTGGTCCGACGTGAGGGGTCTCTAAAATGCTGCTCATCCTGTCGTCAGCCAGTGGCCTTAGGCTTTTTCTCAAAGCGGAATCACTGGTAGATACTGAATACACCTGGAGCCTTGAAGGTGCAGGAAATTCTACAGGTGAAGTATAGCAACCCCCGGCAGGCTAGAGCAGAGAGTTCGCCCCGAGGGGAAGGAGAGAGGCACTAGCTGCCTAAGCTAGGCTGCTGAGAATGGGGATTCATTGGGTCACCGAAGCAAGTTTTTTCGATTGGTTTTTAGGTCTCTCTGCCTTTGATTAGCATGGTGATTTCACATTTCTGGCACATTCACTATTGGCTCCTGGCCCTCCCTCAGCGGGCTTTTGTTCCTCTTTCCTAACCATGTCCAAGCTATATTTTCATACACTGTTGGGCCCAAGCAGAGGTGGCCCAGACTAAAGGGTTCTTTGTGAAATACCCCCATATCTCTTTCTGCTGAGCCGAAGCACGAAGGCATTTAAGTTGCAGAATACTTCCCTAATCTTCTGACCACATTACAAATGCCATCAAGACATGCGTTTTACTCTCAGTAGTCTCCTAGAAAGGAAAAGCTGTTTGCAGGGGAAAGTTTGCTCCCTGTTTGGATCTTAGCGGTCATTGTAGTTGTAGCTGACTGCTTCCCTGCAGTCTCGGCTCTCCTGGAGGATCAATACTTTCCTTTCCATTGTGTAAAGTAGATCCAATTTTAAAACGATCCTTCCCAACTTGTAAACTTTTCCATTTTTCACATACCCAGCACCCACTGCACATAATAAACCTTGATAAATCCAGTAAGTCTTCTATTAAGAATCGTGTTGCTGGAATAATTGAAAATTTGCCCTTGAGGAAGAGAATCCATCTTGAAAGTCTGGATCTAAGCTGGTTATGATTAGATCTATTTAAATCACAAGGAGCACCTGGTGCTACAGTGGCTTAGTCCCCAACCAGAATGTTTATCTTGGCACACTTGGAGCAACACTGGGATCCTTAGGGTTCCAGACACTGGAAACTTAGAGCAAATAACCTTATTTAGAAAAGTGTTTATCCGTTTGCATTTCTTGCTCCTTATCTCTCACTGCTGGTCATTAAGATCCTTTGCTCAGAAGCAGTTCAGCCTTTAATGCCAAGAGAAGACAAAGAGATTTACTCAACAGCTATTGCCCAGAGCTCCAGCTCCTTTAAATGCTTGTCAAGAGAGAGGGTACATGGTCTGCCTGGGAAATAAGATGTCTCCATCAGTGAATTTGTTAGTTTGTCCCTCACTTTCTCTTAGTAACACATACAGAAAGAGCCAGGAGTGGTTTACTTAAGAGGGATGGCTCAAATGTATAAACTGAGAGACAAAAAATGTGATATACAAAGACAGATCATCACTTGCCCCAATTTTAGAGTTAGGTTCACAGTTAAATACCAGGAAAGGCAGGACATCAAAGCCTAACATTTGTAGAGGATTAAATATTGGAGAGGACAGTCTTTGAGGAGTCACAGAAGGCACGTGAAAAGCATCTCCATGGCACAGCCTACCTTGGACTTGGAGTGAAAAGGACTCTCCTTGGTCTTCAGTTAGTAGGAGGAAGGATATCATCTTTGGCTTTCTGCTAACCTTCCCAGATTTCTGTTACATAGGTACAATTTAATAACTAGTGATGGTAGATTGTAAAGGAGAATTAGATTAGATGTCAGGAGATCTAAGTTCTATTATTATCTTTGCTTGCTCACTGTGTGACCTTGAGCTATAGAATCCTCTTCTGAGGAAGTTTCCCTCAGTTTAAATGAGGGTATTGAAATAGTTCTCCCAGTTCTGACATTCTGTGCCTTAGCCACATGTGCCTGGTGAGTTTCTTTTACTTGAAATCAAGGAACATTTTGATATCAAAACTAACTCCTTTTCTCTGAGGAATAGTTAAGGGATCCAAGATCACCCAAGGAAAGTGGTCAGCCTAAATTGACAAGGTCTAAACCTTTAAACCTAAAGGGGGAACTTACCATCCAAACATGCAGAGATTCATTAGGTTTCATGGGCACTAACCCATGTAGCTGTACTAGTTCTGGATACCTGCATATGGTGAATAAACTAAGATGCAGCGTCAGAGTGGAATCAGCTTTAGGAACACACATTTCTATCACACTTCAAGACTCACAGAGCACTTTTCTCACCACATCCCTGTGAAATAGGTAGTATGTCTTATTTCTCACCCCCCTTTTTATAGATGAGGAAACCAAGGCATAGAGTGTTGAAATGGCTTGTCTAAGATCGCATAGTTGTCAGAGCTGGGTTTGATCTGGATTTTTTGACTTCGGTGCAGTGAACTCTCTGCTACTTTAGTTTTCTTCTCTTGAATGTTAAGAAGCACTTACTTACTTTTTATCTTTAGGAAAGCTCAGTTGGGTGAATGGTGATAAGTAAAGGGTGAAGGTAAGCCTTCCCAGGGGGCTGGTAAGAAGTGACAGGTTTGATGGGGTGATGCTTGAATTCTGGAGCTGGAATCTTAGGAAGCCAAGTACCTTCTTTATTGTCACTCATTCTTTATATCATTCTCCTTTTCTCCACTCACACCATGGCCACTCTAGTCCCAGACCTTATCAACTCTTACCTGGACTACTGCAATATCTTCTTACTTAATCTCTCTACATCCAATTTCTCCTATCTCTAATCCCTCCTCCTCCAGTGCAGGTCTAACAAAGACACTCCTTTGCTCAAGAAGCTTTGGTGTCTCCCCATTGCCTGTGGATTAAATGATAAACTCTCTTGTTTGGCATTTAAAACCCTTCACTATCAGTCTTCAAACTCTCTTTCCAGGTTTATTGCTCATTATTCTCTTTCGTATACTCTATGACCTGCATACAATGTTCCAATGGCCATCCCTTTGTCTTTACACAGGCTGTCCCTCATGCCTAGGATACCTACTCCTCATGTCTGCTTCTTGAAATTCCTTGTTCACTTAAAGACTTATTTCAAGGCAGCTAGATGGTATAGTGGAAGACTATTCAAATGCAGCCTCAGACACTTACTGGCTGTGTGATGCTGGGCAAGTCACTACATCTATCTCATTTACAAAATGGGGATAATAACAGCACCTATCTCTCAAGGCTGTTGTGAAGATAAATCTTACAGCACTATATATATGCTAGCTGTTATAATTATGATTTTCACCTTCAAAAGACCTTTGCTGACCCCCCAATTGTTAGCTCCCCTCCATTGCTATGTAATTATTTTGAATGTTAACACATTGTATACCTCTAGTAGAATTTCAGCAACTTGAGGCCAGGAGTTTTCTCCTTTTTGTGTGTATTCCTACAGTACCTAGCACAGTGCCTGGTAAACAGTAGGTACTTACTAAAATACATTGAGGATTTATTGATTCTAGTAGGCTTTCTCAGAGGAAAAGATTGAGCCAAAGAATTGGAACAGTGGAGAGCAGTAGAAAGGAGGTCCTGCAAGTGGTACTAGCCCATCCTTGGAATAAAAATCTGGATTTTGTGTCTGTGCCAATCACCATATTTTTTTGTGCAAGAAACTTTTTTTTTACTATCTCCTTAGTAAGTAGTTAATCCCTCTCTTGTTCCTGAGAATGTAGGGGGAGAAGGGGAAATATGGGTATACCTAGGTCAAGAGAGGCTGGAGTGTCAGGATGGTCCAAGAGGAAAGATGTTACAGATAGTGGTGCTGTTTTCCAGAATGGGTCAAGGTAGCTTGAGAGGTGGCTGTGAGAGATCAAAACTCAGCGTGGGAGAAACTTTCCTGGTGGACTCTCTCATCTATGTGGAAAGCCCAAGGATGTATTTTCTCTCTGTGGGCTAATTTGGCCTTCATTTGTGTGAGTTTTTTGTTTCAGAAGAGACCCAAAGAGCCCAGAAAGGGCAGTCCTATTTGGGTAAGCAGTCACCCTGATTAGGAAAGTAAACAACATTTCCTGTTCAGCAAATACTGAGATCAAGTTTACACAGCTTTTTACACTAAGTAGAAAGGACTTTCCATTAGAGAATGTTTTATGTACTGATACAATCAGACTAAAAACAA